TTATTTTCAAATTAAGAGAAGAGCTGAGAATAGGCAGCTCTAAAATACTGGATGCCATAAGACCTGCCAAAATGGCAGAGCACCAAATGAATGAAAAAATGAGCTAGTTATGAATATTAGGCATAGTAATCGGCAGGTTCTTGATTACATGTAATGCCGAAATGATAATAATAATAATAATAAATAATAATAATTAATTATTATTATTATTATTATTACCACCTGTACGTTAAGGGGAACTTAGACAAAGGGGAAATAACACAAAAGATATTCCCCTTGGGCTAGTTATTATTTATAGGCCTTGAAATAGTATCTGTAGGTTCTTCATTACAAGAGGCCAAGGTAATTAATGCTGAAATGATTGTTATTATTATTTATTAATTATTATTATTACCTGTACCTTAAGGGAAACTTAGACAATGGAGGAATTAGAGGACAATTAAAAAAACGACGTTAAGGGGAAATATTGGGCGATTATTATTTATTAGGCCTAGTAAATAGTACAGTATCTGTTAGGTTCTTCATTACAAGGCTTAGGCCAAAGGTAATTATTAATGCTGAAATTATTATTATTATTTAACATTAATTACATTATAATGATAGTTTGGACAAGTTCAATAACGCCGGAAATGGTATATTATTTATTTAATATTTCTCTTATGCGCTCTATTTTTCATTTCATGCTTCAATTTTGTCCCATTTCCCCCAAAATTTCTGTCCATGTCAGTATGTGAAGCGTGACTGTTGTGTCAGCCTATGACCCTAGGCCTAGTTTAAGGAGGGTCCTAGGTAAGACCTCAGCCTGTAGTTAGGCCTATAGTTTATCCTCTTTCTCTCTAGCCTTTGGTATAACTGTACCTATCTACACTTTATAACAGGAGGTACTAGCTGTTGTTGTAGATAATATACTAACATTTAATAACATCCAAGAAGGTCACAGTTAGATACACAGTGACGTACATCACATAAGTCCGTGAAATTTCATAGGCCTACCGTAGGTAAACATAGAAAGAGCAATAATAGTAAAACTCGAGCGTCACGACATTGCGAAGTGTCTGCTCTTGTTCCTCGTATCGTACTCACTCGAGTCAATCCGAGATGGCCCGAGTGAAGTTTCATGCAAATGTTTCGTACGGGAAAAAAAATCGCAGGCGGGGCGCGATTTTTTTTCCATAAAGTGTAGATAGGTACAGTTATACCAAAGGCTAGAGAGAAAGAGGATAAACTATAGGCCTAACTACAGGCTGAGGTCTATATACCTAGGCCCCTGCTTAAACTAGGCCTAGGGTCATAGGCTGACACAACAGTCACGCTTCATACTGACATGGACTAAAATTTTGGGGGAAAAAATGGAACAAAATTGAAGCATGAAATGAAAAATAGAGCGCATAAGAGAAATATTAAATAAATAATATACCATTATTGAACTTGTCCAAACTATCATTGTAATGTAATTAATGTTAAATAATAATAATAATAATAATAATAATAATAATAATAATAATAATAATAATAATAATAATAATAATAATAATAATAATAATAATTTCAGCATCAATTACCTTTGGCCTAAGCCTTGTAATGAAGAACCTACAGATACTGTACTATTTAGGCCTACTAGGCCTATAAATAATAATCGCCCAATTGGAATATCTTTTGTGTTATCTCCCCTTAACGTCGTTTTTTTAATTGTTCTCTAATTCCTCCATTGTTTAAGTTCCCCTTAAGGTACAGGTAATAATAATACTAATAATTTCAGCATTAATTACTTTGGCCTAAATGCTTGTAATGAAGAACCTACAGATACTATTTACTAGGCCTATAAATAATAACTAGCCCAAGGGGAATATCTTTTGTGATATTTCCCCTTTGTCTAAGTTCCCCATAACGTACAGGTAATAATAATAATAATTATTATTATTATTATCATCATTTCGGCATTACATGTAATTAACTTGGTCTAGCCTTGTAATCAAGAACTGCCGATTACTATGCCTAATATTAATAACTAGCTCATTTTTACATTCATTTGGTGCTCTGCCATTTTGGCAGGTCTTATGGCATCCAGTATTTTAGAGCTGCCTATTCTCAGCTCTTCTCTTAATTTGAAAATAACTGTCATTCTGTTTCATTTGATCAGTGATGAAAAAAAACGCGCTTTTCCTTACTCTTTGTGCTTTTCCCAGAAAGCGTCTTTAGTTGGCCTAGGTAATTATGCAAAACCCAGGCCTTAAACTAAAAAATTAAAATTGTCAAAGTATGAAACTCAAGTTAAAATAACACTTTTCATTACTCGTGCAGCTTAATCAAATATTATGTCATTTTAAACGACCCATTGGTTTAACATGGTAACATCAATGTATTTTTAAAAATTAGGCAGCGACGTTCTCTCAGAAATTGTTCTGTAGACGTTTATCTGTTGATGACCTTTTGACCTCCTGAATTCTGCAATGAGATTTTCGGGTCGATTCAGCCGAGACGGCCCGAGTGGAGTTTCATGTAAATGTTTCGTACGGAAAAAAAAATCGCGCCCCGCCTGCCCCGCCTGGCCGGTGGTGGTGTGCTCATCGTTTCATCGTCGTCGCGGTAATCCATGTGTTTTTGTGGTGTGGTTTGTTGTTCAGTACAACCAACCAAGAAAGGAAGGAAAATAAGGTAAACATTAGGTTTACACCATTATTTTCTTACTTAGCCTAGAGTCTACTATCCTAGAGCTAGAGTATGGTGATATTGCATGCAATATAAGGCCTAGTTAGTGGCTTAAGCTAGGGCCTAGGCCATCCTTCCACCAATTGAATTGGCATGTGGCTAACCGAAACTCCAGGCTTAGGTCAGCCCTGACATTCCCCTATTACTAGAAAAGTCCTAGCTTGGTTGGTTAGCCTTGCTCAGGATCCGCATGGTGAGTAAGTAGATTCTGCCCTACTAAACACTTCGCAAACTTAGCTATACCTAGCTAAGTCTAAGCCTAGGCTCTTAACTAATGAGTTAGCCTAGGCCCTAGCTAGGCGACCCGTTAGGTAGGCTAGGCTAGCTAGCCTAGCTAGGAAGAACATACATGTACATGTTTGTTATGTTATTGTTAGGCTTGACACACTGGCACAAATCAAACATTGTCGTTTAGATGTGCATGGAGGATTTAGGCATTATGGTCTTACAAAACCAAATTTATTATTAATAATGTTATTTTTATTCAATGCTTGGTAAATCCTACTGTCTATTTATATTTTGAACAGCAAGATTTTATCAGGTAAAATGTACCTTTCGTCTTCAAATTTATTACAATTCAAACTTTCTACTGTACTACACCAGGGTCCTCTAAGTCTTCTACACATCGCGGGACAGCTTCCCGCACCCACAAGCAAGCAAGAATGTACCTCATCGCAAATTGAATATGATATAATATTTGTATGTTTTGACTACTTTAATAAAATTAAATGTGTTAAGGTCATTAACACTCTTGACCACAAGGGGTTTGAAAAAATATTATCAGCCACTGCCAGACTTTTTAGCGAATTTTTACACTTTTCCGAAGCTCGTTAAGAGTGTGTATGTGATCAGATTGACATGTAATGGATACTACAAGAACTACAAACATTTAATAGCTTTATGATGATGCCAAGCGCTTTATTCTAATCACAGTCCAGGAACCCGCAACAGTAAAATGAAAATGACTCACTTTTGGAGATTTACGTGATTTCATACAAAGAAGCTAAGATAATCATGAAAGCACATCAATATCGCTACGCTCAATGTAAACAAACAAATAGTGAAATACTCTCGGTCCAGACTGAATATATATATATATATATATATATAACCCATCTATCGGATTCTGTAAAACAAACCTGAAACACGGAGATGTAACGCGTTACCAAACACAGAGATCTCTGTATTTGGCAGGCAGAGTGTTAAACCAGATCTCACAGAAGTGACTTATTCCAACTTGGAACCTGTGCTGTACTTACCGAGCAAACCTACAGCCTCCGACAGCTAGATTCTATTGGACACTTGCTGCCATCTTACACATTTTAATGTGTGTCAAGTATTTCCATTGTTTAATCTAATTGACAATTCTTTTTCAGATTTAAAGTTGAAGAGGGTGACATTAAATGAAACATGACGTTGAATCAACAAGAGGGAGGTGCTGCCTGCCAAGGATGTAGCCAGCTAAAACAGGTAATATTTTTTATAATTCATCATAGTTGCAGTATAGAATAGGCCTCACTGTTGGCCTGTTTTACCAACAGTTGGCCTATTTTTAGGCCCTAGCTTAAAAATAGTCTGCATGTCAATATTGTGGCATAGCAGCACAAACAGTCTGCGTAATTCTTTTATTCATGATAATATTTTTTAAAGTATTTTTTATTCTTAAGGTCACTGAAAAAAATAATTTATTAATAATGATAATAATTATAATAATAATAATAATTATATTATTAATAATAATAATAATAATAATAATAATATACAGTATTTTTTATTCTTAAGGTCACTGAAAAAATAATTTAGTAAAATAATATTAATAATGGTAATAATAATAATGATAATAATATACAGTACTATGATATTCTTGAATAATGATAATAACAATAATAATAATAATATTATAATAACAATAATAACAACTAATTGACTTTTGTGAAGGGAGCATTTTAAATTGTTTTATACATTTTTCTGTCATTTTGGTGTTGTTGATGAAATCCATTTATTCACTGTCTAATTTTAAATTTTATGTTTTTAACCAATTTAAATATTGTATAGATTTGTATTGTTTTTACTTTCCCAACTGAAGATGCCTCCATGCTCTTTCATTATTTTAGATTATATTAATTATCAAACATTAATTTAAAATTGTTTTTTTATTAAATTGATAACATGATTTGTTTTTTGTAGGAACTGGAGCAATGTAAGATGGATCATGTATTGAAATATACAACGTTAAAGGAGAAGATTATGTTGGTTGAGTAAGTATTTTAAATTTGTTTTTATATACCAGTGATTTTCAGACAAAGTCAAACTATGTTGTCTGGTCTTGTGTCATGACTACTTAACTGGAGGATAAACCAATCATTTGCTAATTCTCATTTAGGAACACCCCTCAGATTGAAAATAGATGAACTCTCGGTCCTTGTGTAATTCACTTCATTTTGATATAAGTTATTTACACAAAATTAATCTTAACCCTCTGGATACCGGATTCTTTTGTAGTGCAAACCCTTGAATACTGGATTCTTTTGCAGTGTAACTAGGTTTTTTGAGTATACGTCGTTCTGGTGGATTTTTGGGAACTTTCTGTAAATTATACAGAAAAAAGTTTCAAAAACAAAGAAAGCTTATAGAATAAGCTTTCATTTGATGTATAATTTATATTTTTAGGATTTTTTTTCATAATATAATATAATATAATATCTATAATATAATAGAAATGACAGAAAAATGCTATATATAAATCGTCAGCAAAAACCCCCCAAAAAATAAATTATAGCCAAAAAAAAATAAAAACAAATATAAAACATTCCTATTCCACACAGTTATATAATTTATTTACCCAACCATCCATAACTATAAGCACGATCTTTCCATTCAAAAGCATTGACCACCCTCACATTTCTAGGCCTAGGCTCATCTTCATCAAGAACATCTCCGCCGTCAGAACTGCTTGAAGCCCCACCGTCATCATCGCTATCAGGCACGTCTACGTCTCGCACAACTAAAAACTCACCTTCATCGCTGTCTGAATCAAAAATCAGGTCAATCGCTTTCTCAGCTGTGTACACATCTTGTGCGGCCATTTCGGACAATTTTCAAAATTAATAACAATTTCAAATTGATATTTCTAAACATTTTTATATAAGCGCATGTGAGTTCTTCACAGATTTCGAAAGAAAAAAGCTTCACGCATGCATGTTCAAAATTTCTGACGTATTGAAGCTAAAATAAAAACAGAAGAGCGATTTGAAAACCACCTATTTTTTAGTCACTAAATTTCGACTGCAGTCGGAAATGGGAATTCTCGGTTTGAGGTCAATTTCGACTACAGTCGAAGACGGTATCTAGAGGGTTAACAAGATAATAATGAAGTTTAAAGTTAATATCTGTTACCAATATATTATGTATACTTTCTAACTTTCATTTTTGTCTTCCCAACAGTGAATTAATTCGACAGTACCAAGCAAAATCTCAAGATATCCTTTGCATAAATATATTCATTGGCACATATAATAACAATAATATGTCGTTCTTATATAGCACTTAATGCCTTAACAAAGCCTCTTCACTTCACATATGCCTAGTCGTTTAAATTTATAAATTAATAAAATATGTAGTATTAAATATATATGTTATATTTTATCACTTGCCACATAAGTGGCGGGTTCAAAGGGGTGGAGGGCCTAGCTGGTCCAAGCCACCAAAATTTTTCTAAATTATTTAAAAAATGGAAAAAAAAAAATTCATGGATTGACCGCTGCACATAGTTCTAATTGATGAATAATAAGTTTGAGGTAATCCTTGTTGAAGTAGGATAACTTCACACTTAGGTCATGGATTCTCCCTGAAGAGGCAAAGTTCTTCTAGAAACTAACCCATCGCCCTCAAATTTGTAATTTTTGCTTGTTATTATTACTGTATACTGTTAATAGTATACCTGACGTCAGCCGGGCATGGTTAAGGCTGCACGCTTTAGATTACAGTGTAAGAAAGGTTAAACAAAATGTCCTAGAAGTGGCTTCACTACCTTCTTGTACTGAGAGAGAATAATGATATTATATTTTATTGAGTTTTGGTAGTGTTTTTTGGTCACATTTTTAAAAATGTTTAATTCTGATGCATATAATTCTGTTGTTGCCTTAACCACATGTTTACAAAATACCCTTCTTAAGAGTAAACTTGAAGAAGTAGCAAGTCGTCTAGCAGCATCTCGCAAGTAAGTTACTTTTATATTTTAAAAAAGTATTAAGCAATGTTTTTTCACATTTCAATTATTGGGAAGGTGAAGACAGATAATATGAATTACAGTAGGGATGGTGCCAGGTTCCTCCAGCGTGCGGTTCACCATTCCTCAACAGATTGGCAGTGGTCCCAAGTCTTCCATGAACAGCGGTAGTCTCATGGAGATCAAGACAGCCTCTCACACTCCTGAAAAGGGGCAGAAATCTCATGAAAACTAATCCATCTCTTGAAAATCCATTACATTTATATGTTTTTATCACTATATTATCATTTGTTGTTAATGTTAGTAAAATTTATGTTGATGATGGTAAAGTTCCTGATGATTACATTGATGATGATAATGTTGATGATGATATTTTGACGGTAACATTGATGATGGTAACGGTAGTGATGGTAATGTTGATGATAGTAATGATGATGGTAACGTTGATGATGGTAATGATGGTATGATTAATCGATTGATCTGAAAGACATAGACATTAATTTTCAAAATATCTCTATAACATAAAATACAATTGTTTATGTATATTTTATTATTCTTCCAGAGACTGCAAAGTTTTAGAGGAGCAGTTTTCAAATACCTTAAAAGAAATTATTCCAATACGATCGGTAAGTTTCTATTCTTCACTCTTCTTCAACATAATGTTCAAATTAATAAAATCAGTGACAGGTGCAAGAGATTTCCCCTTGCCATCTTTTCCCCTTTTTGACTCAATATTTTTGCAATTCTGAAACTCACCCCTACTCCCTCTCCTATTTCCAACTTTTTTCTTTCCAACTTGTTTAATAGTTTTCCCTCTCTAACACTCTTCCCTCCTTTTTTTCTGTCCTGTTTTCAAAATCTTGGGTGGGTCTTAGAAAATATATATTGCCACACAATTATTTTTGTAATAATGATAAGAAAAGTTTATAATATCAACAAACTAATAGAGATATTGTTCGGCTATTGAAATAAAGATTATATATTGATTTCAATAATTATATTTTACCTTAAAATATGTAATTTTACCTCGCAGGAGAATGCAAAAATGAAACTAGAAAACAAACAGCTAAAGCAAAATGCTGAGAAAACCTGTGATAAACAAGCTGCGAATGAGGTAAGTGGATGCAATTTTTTTTACATACTTTTTACAAAAATTCAGGAAACCTAAAAAAAAAATTTTAAACCTGGAATTGATTATTTTAAAAGACAAGTTAGCAACTATCTAATCAATCAGTCAATCAATTTATTGTTTTATTCATATATTATGTAATTTGAATGATATGAATTTGGGATAAACACTGAATTTTTTTAAGGCAATATGTTGGGCAAAATGTTGGGATAAACACTCCATTTTGGAGGCAATTTTAAATAAATTGAATAAATAAATAAATTGAATTGTTTACAATTATTTAGACCAAGTTAAATCTGACTTGAATTTTCTTAAAAATTCATGCGTAAATAATACTTTACAAATGAGTGGCGACCAAATGTACATAGTTGTCTTTTTTTATGATTTACTGAAGTTTTCATTTAAAAATTATAAAACATGCTGGCAGCCAACTTTGTTGGTTAACTTTAAAGTTATATCTAATAATTTACTGAAATATAAAAAGTAAACAATGCACTTTTTTCTTAGCATTTAAAGTTGATTATATTTACATGCCAGTATATTTTTCTATCTCATTATTATTAATACTAATTAATGTTAATGTTAATTCTATTGTTTTGGGGGTTGGGTCAACTGACTTAGCTACAGTAATTTGGTTCACTTTGGTTGAATCTGGTTTTTTTTTTGTTACTATCTGTTATGTACATAATATTATAATTGTGCAAAAGACCAAATAAGTAATGAAATGAAATTATATTATATTACATTTATCTCTATTTTATCTGAATGGGTTTTACTTTCAGTCTTTGTGTAGGCAGTTACAAGATTTGCTATCAAGACGAGATGAGGAACTGCAGACGGTAACTGCAAAACTTAATAACCACACTGGAAGGTATTTGAGAATGTTATTAACCTTTTTAGAACACTGTATTCATTTGAATAAATGCCCCAGAGCATTATTTTTGTTGAGAAAGAGTTTTAGAGTGGGCTTTTATTAGAGGAGGCGTATTTTTTTGGCGTAAAATTGATATGTATATACTCAAATAAATGCCTCTTAATATCACGGTAAATGTGCAACTGCAACACAAAATTGCAGTCAAAATGTGTTATTGCTTGATCATAAAGATTTATTGATCCCAACTAGGTTAGAAAAACTGTAATTCTACTGGATTAGAAAAATTAATAGAATGTGTTGAGAATTATGTTGCTTCCATTAGCTTTGTTTACAGTCATTTAGGGGGTATTTTTATTCGTTTATTGGAGGGAGCCGTTTATTTTAAATGAGGGTCTGGCAGAGGCACTTTTTCAAAGCTGGGCATTTATTCAAAATATGGTATATGTTTTTTACTTATATTCACAGTATGTGTTTAAAGTAAATTAATAGAATAAAATATTTACTGAATTTAACAATAAGATGATTGACAATGACAAGACGTGTTGAATAATGAAATATCACATTGAATTGTGAACAACTGATTGTCATTCTTTTTTTTGAACTTTTTTAAAATTTACTAATTATTATCTTCTTTATCAGTTTTATGTTATTGTACAATGTTACCTATTTTAATATTGTATTTTATCATCGTTTTACGTAAAACACATTGAACAATATGTATATCTGAAAATGTGATATAGTGCTTTATACCGAAATGGTCTCAAAGTGCTTGAGGTGTGGACTAACTTTTACAGTAACTTGCTTCTTTCCTAAGTATCTCTTCGTGTCTCAGCTACCCAGTAAACAAGTACCAACTATTCCCGTCTGTTTACAAAAAATGGGTTTTATAAATAAATATTTTTTTTATTATTATTCAGTGATCTAAAGAAATTAACTAAAGTCAAGGAAGATAATGTGGCGCTTAAGAAAGACAACTCAGAATTGAAGAAGAAGAACTCGTCAACAACTAAAAAACTAAATACATCTAAGGTAAGTTCATTACGTAGATTTGATGGGATTTCTGGATCAAATTCTGAACCCTGTGCGCATTATAATTGTTGGTTCCTATGATGTAAGGCAGTAGGACCTTTCCAGTTGTCCATGCATGTGTCTCTGTGATGCCGATATCATCAAATTCTTCGAAAGTAAACAAGCAAACCTGAATTTTGCTTACATGAAGTATTTGTTATGTAATTGTGCCCTATTGCTTGAAAACATTTTTGGATGGATATTAAAACAATACACAAGGACTTTATTACCACTCTATCCATCCGTCTAGTGTTACTGTATATGGTACAGTGGATGATTGATTGTCATACATTTATACACTTACATAGTGCCTGTTAAGACAGACAACCTGTTTGTCACTGGCATTAGCATAAACCTAGAAAAAATTAATGTCATAATTTGACATAATTTTTTTTTCATAAATGCTGTTTTATTATTGGGATTATCAAATTTTGAAAAAAATTCTATCGGAGTATGTTTTTTTTTTTTTTTATATAAAAGTTCATACAAAACACTGTTGTATTATCAGGATTGTATACTGTACTCACTTGTAGTCTGCTCTCTGTGACTCTTAGCATTAGCGGCCACACTTTGATAATGCTTTTTTACTGTATTTTTCTTTGCTTTTTAGAATCGAGAACGACAATTAAGAGAGCTGTTAATTTTGCATAATGTAGCAATACCACGGCTAAAGAAGTTAGACAAAGAAGCAGTACAGAAAAGCAGTGATTCCAGTGCTGAGGAAGGTAAGATATAATCATAATATGATGTGCATATAGACCTTGGCTTAGTGGACTTCAAGGTACCTTGATAGAAAAATATATGTTGTTGTTATTACATAAATTGTATGTACAGAATTTGAAATTGAATTTTTTTAAATGTCCTGTGAGTGTGTTTGCACAGTGTGTATAAATGTATACATACAAATGAGAGGAAAAGCTTTAATTAATATAGGGAATAGTGTTCATCGCAAACCTTCATTGTATAGCATTTTCATTTTGGCCTTGTAAGCAATAGATCATGGTTGATGGATGTTGAAAAAAAAATGCTTCTGATTTTGAAGATTGTGTTTGTGTGTTTGACATTGCTTTTCTATCGATCAGTTTTACTATATTTTTGATATTTAATATCTTTTTATTGATGGTTATTTTATGTGTGATTTGTTTCTGGATTTGCAGAAGATCAGGTATTGTTATTCCTAAGCAGATAAATAATTGTAAATGAAAAAAATAATATAGTCCTTTCCATTCTTGAACTTTGTCCATACTATCAAATTTTATGTGAAAAATAAATGATATGCCCATATTTAGGTGTAATATGACATCATGCCCATATGTGTGCACATCACATAGACTTGTCACATATAATTTGAAAGTATGGACACAGTTTAGTTTCCTCTACTGTTGGTTTGCAGTATCCATCTTATTTATGGTTTTCACATGTATATACATACTATATAACTATACATCTCAATATATGTGTTCAAGACATTTTAAACTAAAATTTTATTTTTCAGATTTGATTGATTCTGAAGCCATACAGGAATTGATAGAAAAGAGAAAGTCTTCAGTTTCAAAAAAAGTATGTCAGAAGGATCAAGAAACTCAAACAATTTCAATGGAAGAACCAGTAGTCAACTTCAAAGAAATACATCAAGAATTAAATGACACTCCAGTGAGCCAGAACCGGCAGACCATTATTCATTCCATTGTTAAAAAAAGTTCAGCCATCAAAACACCAAAGCAACGTCAAGGTTCCAGAATTTCTTCCTTAATGACTGTCTTTAACATCAAAAAGATGCCAACATGTCTTTCGCCTTTACCACCCTCTCCATGCAGGAATTTTACTAAGGTATTGTATTTTTGGGTTTGGTCAGTGAGCTTTCAGTTTAAATTTGTAGTTTTTAATTTACCAGAATAAACTATGATTTAAGAATATATATATTATTTTTTTCTTCAGGAGCTTAGTGAAGACAGTATAAGTGATGAAGACGATGCAATGTCGGTGATTGCAGGTCAAATTGATGTTGAGCTGGAGAAAGCTCAAGACTCCCCACAAAGAGCACTTTCCCTAGAGGTAGTTAACCAAGTTGAATATTCAAAGAAGCTCAAATCCTCAAAAAAGCACAGAAAGCATTTTGAAAATACACCACAGCGAATGACAAGATCCAGAACTAGGAATTCCAGCAGCAGTTGTCAAGAAAATGACCCTGTTTTATTACCTGAGAAAGTTAAAAAGCAGTCTTATCAAAAAAACAAGACTTCAGCAAATAATCTGCAGTCCCATTTAAATGATAGGAAGAGCTTATCCGATACATCAGGTGATGAACAAAAGGAAATTGATTCTAAGAAATCTACATCAATAGTTGTAGATGCTATTACAATAGACAAGGACAGAGTAGCTGAACAGAAAATTCACACAGATAATGTCAAGAACTGTATTCCTTCTGAAAATAATGCAGATGTAAAGTTGAAGGAACCTGTGAATTGTGCCAATAATTTGAAAACAGAACCTGAAGACTCTGAAAGTAAAATTTCCAATGGTATGTGTAATGATAATGTTCAGAAAAATCGTTCAGAGGTGAATCTTTCAAAAACATCAGAAAAGACGGAAGCAGTTGAAGAACTTGAAACTGATATCGGTCCAAATTTACCAGACATTAAAAGTGCAATGGCTAACACCAACTATAAATATTCAACTAGTACTGATATCAGTGATTCACAAACATATGATTTGTCAGAGATAGCCACTGATTCTGTGGATTATTTAGAAGCAACTCCTGATGGAAACAATGAACTAGAAATTTCTTCAAATATTGATTTGTATGTAGATGTCAAAAGTCAAGATGAAGTTTTGATAACCTCTGTTGAGAAAGAACAATTCAATGAATTGCAAGAAAATTTCAAGTTACAAAGTGATTTTAGTACTCCATGTGTGGAAGAAAGGTTAGAAGGAATGCCTATGAAGCTGAACATAAACAAGTGTATTGTAAAATCAGCTATTCCTGAAAATACGAAACTGTTTAATGAAGATCAGGTTGAAATAGATCATCCCACCTTAAAAGAGCATCATGATGATAAAAATGATAATTCTGCAGTTAGTCGGGCAGTTGAATCATTCAGTGTCAAAAAAGAGATTGATACAACAGTTGAATTAAATATACTAAAGTTGAAAACTACTTCGAAGAATGATCCTAAAACTACACCAGGCGTGTCAAACTTGTACTCATCTTTTGTGAAAGCATCATCGAGTTTGGAGGAAAATAAGTCAAATAAGGTAGAGAATGATGCGTCTGATTTAAAAGAAACCAAAAGGAAAGGAGAAACAAAAACAAACCAATCTGATGAAAATTTAGAAACAAAAGGTGTTGATAACAACTGCTTAAACATATCAAAAGTTTTGCCAAAAGAAAAGATCAATTTTGTACACAACATAGTCTCTGAAGATAATATGAACGCAGTGCAATCTAAGAATAATTCTATTGACAATAGTTTGACTTCAGCAGGTGAAGATGCAGTTAAGGTTGATAATGACGTGATTGCAGAAGTTGTCCGAGAAACAAACTCTCTGGATTTGCCTGAGAGACGAGTAACAAGATCAATGGGTGATGTTAAAATTGGTAAGACCTCGTTTCCGACAAACTCTTCACATCAAACGTGCAAGAGAAGTTTGCTTGAGCATGATGAGGGAATATGTCAAAAGAAACAAAAGAGAACTGTTTGTTCTAATGAATTGACCGGTTCAATGATTACTAGGTCAATGAAAAGTAATAAAACTGGAATGCTGGAGCATGGTTCTAGAGATAGTGATGCAAGTTGTGATCCCTCTGCTCTTTTGCCAGTAATAGCCTCTGTCGATGTATCAGAGGACAATACTAGTAGTTGCAGAACATCCAAAAATTTACTTGAAAACACCTTTTCAGCATGTATTTCAAGCATCATTGCAGGTCTTCAAGCAAAAGAGCCTATGGAGTGTGACAGTGGTAAAAGCACTGGCAGAAACAATGCTGTGCTGCCTCAAAAGTTTAAACAGAGTACAGCAGCTTGCAAAAGTTTGCAGTTTGATGTGACGGAGAAAGATGTGGTAAATGATAATGATGATGAAAATTGTCCTGCTTCTTCAACCAATGTCTTTGAAACATCAACAAATTCCACTGACAACACTCAATCAACAAAGAACCAAATTCGGTCATCGCAGAGGTTCAAACGTGTTCGGAAAAGATCCGTCCAACTGACACCGCGACCATCACTTGTGTCCCCAATTGCCATTTCACCTCTGACTCTCTCCCACCATCCACCTCCAATATCACCAATGAGTTCTTCCAGGGGGAGTACACCAGCTCTGTCCTCTCTGTCACAGAGTTTACCATCTCTTATTCCTCTTCCAAATCCCATCTCGCCATTACCAACTTCTCCAAGACGACGCTCACTTAAAAATTGTCCTCTATTTTGTAATCAGTTACCTGTAACACCTATTTCTCCTCTGACACTGCCATCCACTGCACAGCATTTCGCACCAAGTTCTTCAATATCTCTGGCACCACGTTTATCCCCACTTATAGATCCTCAACCAAGTGCAAATATTGTTGTCCAGGGTCCAAGAAAAAGAAGACTTGCACATCGACTGACTTATCCTCCTGATGTTCCTAGTTCAGTGTCTCATAAGTCAGAGCATAGTGTTCGATCATCCCCAGTATCACCACCCAGAATCCATGCATCAGTACCTGAAGGAGTTGTTGCAGTGAAACCTAGTAGATCAACCGATAGACTGTCAGCTTTTCGATGCCCCACTCCAAAAAATATTGGTAGTAATCAACAGCAAAAATCAAGTCTTGCTTTTACTGCATCTAATGCCCTTTTAAAAGGTAGCTTCAGACAGAGTTCATTCACTAAACCAGTTTCTACTGATTCAACCATCAAAGCAACAACAACAACAACAACTTCAAAGTTACTGATAAATTTTCAACCAGCAACTCACACAGACCAACAAAAATGCCATCCTGTTGTAACACAACAGAATCCAGAGGTAGCACAACAGATATGCCATCTAGAGGTGGCACAAATGAAAAATTGTCCAAGTGTTGAGCAACAGAGTCATTCAGAGGGGGTGCAAAAGAAAGGCCATCCAGGAATACTAAAACAGACGAACTGTCTTCCAGGGGCAGCACAACAGAGGCAGCATCATCCAGGAGAAGCTGCTGGAAATAGTTGGTGCAAAATTGCAAAAACTCGGATCAGAAAAAAGAAAAAGAAGAAAAAAGTCGCAAAAAAGCAGAAATCGGTTGAACTACAGGTTAGTTACACTTTCAGTATAAAAATATCAGATTTGATAATGGACGGGTTTGGGGCTGCAGGTTGATAGTCAGAATACCTGCCAATCCAAGGGTGATGGGATAGCAAAAAAAACAAAAAAACCAAAGGATTTTCTGTGATTGGAGGGTAGGAATAGAAAAAGAGGAGAGATTTTATAGTTTAAGATGATAAAAGGCATGCTTTTAGACCATAATATTCAAAGGATAGTCAGAGGGGGAAATATTCCAAATATTCAAGATACAAGATTTCGTTATTCTCCTTAACGGGAAATTTCCGGCAGGTGTTCAGTAAAAGTTATTCAGTGTTTAAACAAAATAAAAATTTTAAAAACTAAACATACTTTACACATGTTGCAAAGACAAGCCAAACCAGTCACTCGTCGTTATTAATACAGTATTAAAGAGTAAGACAATTGCTATAAAATGGTAAAAAAATCATCCAAATCGGACATTTCCTTATGAAGTTACAAGCGTTTAAACATACAGCTGTTTAAAGAACAATATATAAGAAATCAGACTTCAAAGTTTATGATTTCAGGCTTTTCTCATGCAGAAACTATCATCAAATCCTTAAAAAGTGTTGTTTTAACATTGAAAATGGGGAAAATAACAGCATAGAATGATGTATAGATATGTAAAGATTAGTTTAGTGGAATAAAATAGATTTTTTTTAATTTGACATTCCAGCATATTTTGGCCATTTTCTCTGAAACACGATTTGCTACAAGTGACTGGTTTGGCTTAAAACAGTAGATATAAATAGTAAATAAATTATGTATACATTCAAGGTGTGGATGACTTGGAAAAAGAAAAATAAGAGTGAATTGATTATGAATACTGCACTGTAGTCATCACTATGCTAGAAAGTATATTACAGTACTAACTTCCATTGAATCTTTTTTTTAAACCAACAGAGATTAGAATATCAGTTAAATGCAGAAAGACTTCTTAAAACAAATGTCGAGGATCAGCTGGAGTTCCTGGTTTCACAAATCTCCAATGTAACAAGTGAGGCTACAGCAAAAAGAGCTACATCAGGACTGATCTGTGTAAGATTTTTGTTTTTAATTCCAGTTAGTTAAGAAAACTATAGACACGGTCTACAGGTATTGAAGAGTATATGTTGTTTTTGCGCTTTCTGTGGTTGTCAGATGTATGGTTCGTTCACAACTATCAACATTTTCACAAGTGTGCGAAGAAGAGGTTGAAACGGGGAGGGGTAGACAAATTTGTACATTTTTAACATATGCATGAAAATGCTGATCTCATAATAATATGCAATATTGAAATACAGAATAGATTTTTATGACCAATTATAATGCAACCATGGATATAATATACATTTTTATGTGACCAAGTACGGTACATTAGTTGAAAGGGAAGCTGTTTTAGTCATAAATTTTACCGGTAAAAATAACCAGCCAACCGGGAAAAATGTTGTGTTTGTAAAATAAAAAAAACCACAGATTGGGCCTAGGTTGGCCTTCTTTGAATAAGTGAACATTGTTCCAGTCTATGCCTAGGCTTTGACTGTATGTGTTGTTGTTTTTTCAAGTCATAAAACCATACAGTACTGTACTCAAAAGGGGTAATGTTTCACACTGCGCTAATAGCTAAATCTTTATGGAAAATTTTATAAGTAACAATGTTTCTAGTGGGAAAACAGTCTGTAGAGATATGCTCGATTTCAGCCTTTACTCCTTAGACATATTCATTTATATCCTATTCATTAATTATATATCTGAAATTAATGTATATTATGTCTGTCAAGCATGTATATATTTTTATTATTGTTATCATTATCCTACAGTTCCTGATCTTGAATCATGTAGATCTTCTACCAGTGATTAAGGCCATGTGTGAAAGTGGTAACACATCCACCAAGTCACTAATCACTCCTCATGAAAAGATGCTAATTGATGCCATTGCTGCTAACCAGGTGAGAAAAATGATTGCTTTGTTTTCATTAATTTTGTTTCAATTAAATTAGTAGTTTAATAGTTTAATTAACGTTATTTAATTATGTAATAAATATCAATATTCTGTGAGATAAACCAATTATTTTTCACATACTTGCTGCTTTTCAATTTGAGTGAGTTTAGTAAAAAAAATCATTGGTTTATCTAAAAGAAATATCAGTATAAGATGTGTATAAGAGACAGGAATTATTTCATGGAGAGAATAACATGCACTCTTCTCTGTCAAAGAGTTGGAGATTACAGAGGATAAAAGGAGTGTCGGAATGACACTCAGTCGCTGTTATACTGCTCTTTGTCATTGTAAAGGTATGGCTGCTTTTTTGTTTTTGACTAAACCAAAAAGAATGGTCAAGACAAATAAAATTGTGTGATAAATTCATTCAGGCCTTGCCACATCTAGATGGCTTAAGGCCAACTCAGACAGCATCGGCCGACGCAGCCCGACCCGATTTATCGTCGGGAACAGCCTTAAGCCGTCGTGAGAAATATTAAACATGTTTAATATTCTACTACGTGACTGCCCTCGACGCACACCATCGCGTCTGCATTTAACTCACGCAGACCCGATGCGACAACAAATCGCGTCGGGCTGCGTCGTACGACGCTGTCTGAGTTGGCCTTTAGACCAACATCTGAATTCATTTCTTGAGACTCTACATAGGTTAGCCCTCAAATACTCTTATTAAATGTTTCAGTGTCCACTGATTCAAAAATTCCATTAAGCCTTAATATTAAATTTAAAGTGGCTTTCTTTATTTTCTAGTCAATGATTGGGTGAGCTTCTGCCCTGTCTTTCCACATACTTAGTGCATCATAATTCTGGGTGTAAAAAAAATAACTAGCCTAGAAATTAAATATCCTTACAGTGCTATACATATGTTATGTTTGACCTTCTGTACACAAACTGTAAAAAGGTCTACAAACCATGCACTATTGACAAATTTGTGCACAGTTTTTTTTTATTTTTATTTTTTTAATTTATTCATTCTGAAGTAATTATAAGTAAAATACATTCAAGGATAAAAACACAGAAAAGTACAAAAAAGCAACTTATTTCCACTGTGGTCCCTAAATGAGAATACTTAAATTACAGAATAATACATAATCAAAACAACAAAGTCAAATTCAATAATCAAAAAAAGATATCATATAAATAAAGCTATGTATAATAAAGTTCAGGTAAATAATGGCTCTTAAAAGTGTATATGGATTGTGAATTTTGAACATTATAAGGTAATTTATTCCATTCATCGATTGCGGTATCGGTGAATGAGAATCTACTATGTGTACCAGATTTTTGTTTATAAATTATCATTCTAGAAGTCGAAAATCTAGTATTATAGTTTATGAAATTGGTTAGTAAATTCAATGCCAGTATTTAAATATACAGGGGAAATGCCATTAATAATTTTAAACATTTGAATACAGTTTGCAATAAGAAAAAAATGTTTGAGCTACAATGATATCATGATTGACTTATAATAATAAAATTAATTGCATGAATGTATTAGGAACAGTTCCTGAATTCATCAGAATGTAAAGAGTGCCATTAGTTATTAGTGAGAGAATTGTTAGGCATTTGCATAGTTACCAACCGTCTCGCATCGTGCGTGATGGGTCCCGCATTTAAAAGTGATTTTGGATAAAACACCCAGAAAAGATTTCTCTTAACTCGGCCAACCATGTACTTAGTAGAATGATGCCCGTGCGGTCTTGCGCATTCATTGTCACAACCAATCGTTGATTATGTGACTCAAACCCGACCCCGACTGGGGATCCATCACTGGATCCCGGTGGGGCTCTGGTGGCCCTGCCTCCCAGTCAACTGGTGTAGTCACGCATTTCAAATCTCTCAGGTTGGTAACTATGCATTTGTATGTACTGTATGCTTAATAATTAAGGTTTTGTTTAATGTTCTAACAATATTGATAATAATAATGATATTTGTGCTTCTTAAGGACTGGCTTATGCAGATCATGTGAGAATCCTGTTGTATGATGTCATCAATCAGAAGGCTGATGATGCACCTCATCTTATTCTGTCTATCATTTCTGCATGGCCATCTGTTCTACAAGTAAGTTAGAAAAAAAAGACTTTATTATGTTGATATTAAGTGACAGTTCACATATTGTTGTTATGTACTTTATATCTATCTTTTTACTACAATTTTCTATCCTTGAAAAAATGTAATCACTCTGACTTGTATCCTGTAATTGGCTGATATTTATTTCCATACTTGGCTGATCTGAATTTATTAATTTAAATAGAACACAAATTTCTGTTTAATTTACCAAATTTTTTTTTCTAATTTGGTAAAACCACAGAGTCAAAGTACTATAGAAATCACTTCATGCTTTATAGAGTTGAATAGCTCTATGGTTAAGATACTTGCCTTCCTACCGTGGGGCCCTGGATTCAATTCCCGTCCAGGTAACAGGATTTCTTCTCACAACTGAAAATAACGCCACTACCTAAGCTTCATGATGAGAGCATTTTGTGTGTATGTTTAAACTTTCAAATTATTTTTGACAATCTTATCTTTTTATGCCCATATATAGTCATGATGTGATGTCATCATGACCATATTTAGGCATGTCACATGTTTTTGTCTGGGCGGGGCTTTAGAAGTGTGATTAACCTCACTGTTGGTCCTTGTGCCTAAAGTCAATCACATAAACATAAATGAATACGGTGTGCAATTTTACATATAAACAATATATTTTTTCCATAAATGAACCTCTCATTGTGTTTTTAGTTGTACAGAATTTTAAATTGGAGTATATAAATAAATCAAATTCAATTTGAATGGTCATTTGTTTGTGTTGTGGTTGCAGATGGATTACGTCTGGTCAATGTAGGTGCAATGATACTGAAGGTTAGCGGGGTCTCACACGTTGCGATTTTGCTTTTGATGACACTTGCATCTACAGTATTTATATTATCGTGTTCAAAATTTTATGATATGATATCCTTCCATATGACTATATGAGTTGTATACATAATCCCTCTCACACCTTGCCCCAACTTCTGTGCCACCAGATTATTTCAGACTGAGCGTTCGTAGCGCAGCTTGTCGTAAACAACAATCGCAACGTGTGTGACCAGCTTAAGGGTTTTAGCAATGGTTAATTACATGCTACCCCTCCAATTATAGCTCTTTTTCCCTTCCTTATCCCCCAGTTTGCTTATTATAATCATGTATGCTTTAAATTAACAATGTTGCGATTTCTCTTAAAGATGAATACATCATCACCTGTGGATACAGCAGTTAAGATCATTGTATCACATCAGCTGCAATGTCAGCTTGAAAATGGCCAGTACACGGCAACCATCCTTCAGAAATGCTTCAATCAACTCTATGATTGGCCGATTGTCATGTCACAGACGCTTGACAAGTTTTGCATTGATCTGGTGAAGAAGTTGACAGATGAGAATGTTGCTATTGTAACAACCAATGCAGGTAATGACAAAGAATAAAAAATTATGGGATACTCAACTAGGGAACTGAGTATGTGTTCCATTGGCAGGGGTAATAATGTGAAGAAGACTTTGTGTAGAGCACTATATAAACATCGAAATAATATTTATTTTATTTATTTATTTTATTTATTTCTTTAGTAAAATGTTACTTTTCTCCCAGAGTGCGCAGTACCTATAAAACTTTAAAATCACATGAATAACACCACAAAATATTTTTTTAAAAAGCATTAAAATATAAGAATGATGGAAAAGAATTACTACCCCCCTCATTATAGATTTGAGAACCCCTAAAAGTAAATCATCTATCAGATTCAGTTCTGATTTTGGGCAAAGGTAAGTTTCTTGTGGATCTGGTTAAGTAGTTATGTACACTGTCAATTGAAGTGGTAATATTTTGGATAGAAGGGACTCTACCACTCAAGAGTTTATTAACTAAGGTAAATAAATTATTATTTCTCCTTTCGCTAAAAAAAGAGAAGTGTGCATTTGAATGAAATTTTTTGTACTATTGATGATTATTTTAATTTCTTCTCTTTCACAATAATAATTATCGTAAACTATGACTTCAGACATACGTATGATATTTTAATCGCTTTTAAATTGGTTTGAATTTGGTATACTTTCAGATGGTGACAGCATCTTATCTCCTGCTTCCTATGACCTAGTGAAGGCTGTTGAATTAGTCGCTGGTCAACTCGGCTGGGCCTGGATTAAGTACCAGCTCATCGATCAGGTTCTATGGCCGATGGTCGAATACTGGAAGTCAAAGGTTCGAGGATCGCATAGCATTAATGAAGGGTCAATCTGTGCTGTTTTGCAAATAATTGGTAAGAACTTGTTAAGAGGTATCTCTAAATAGACTCACTTCAGTATGTCAGAACACCTTAGATAATTAAAGTAGATGCGGTTGGCTATACGGTTGCGACTCGGACTCTATAAGGTGGGGTTTGAAACACTTGCTTTGCAAGTTGCTTCTTGTGTGCTTTATCTATGTTTGTCTCTCTCTACCCAGGAGTATAAATGGGTACCAGCATGTGCAGGGAAGGTAAAACAGACTGCAATGCAGAAGGAGTGGCGAACCCCCACAGCCTTGCACACTCTGGCCCAAACACCATTACACCTCGTAATGTGACTATATTTGTAGACTTGTTTAACTTTTGTTTAAAATATGATATATGGATCTTTATTTTTAACTGTTGCTTTCATACAGTTAAAACTTTTTGTGCAACAACCTGTCTTGTTTCCTATGTAATCACTGAATTGGAACCTTGTAAGCACGCACCTCTCTTAAATGACAACTTTCCTTAGACCCAAGGATGGTCGCTACCAAGAGAGGTTTCAGTACTACTGCATCACATTTAAGTTTTTTAAATGTTTTTATGGATTGCCAAAAGGAAATTTTCTAGTACTTTTGCAGTAAATTAATCTTTTTTAATTGCTAAAAAGAAATGTTCCATTGATATGTTAATTCAGTATTTAAATAACAGGAAAGTTACATATAAACAAAATTGGCAAGGAAATTGACTATAAATTAATTTTGAAACATTTACGAATGGATGAAGGGAAGGAGGGGTAGGTGGTTGGGTGCAGTTGATTATAATATTATATTTAATTTTGTATGATTCAAAAATGTATATAATTAAAAGCATGTTTTCTTTTCAGGCGAACTTTCCACAGATGGACTATCATGTGACCAGGAATCAGTAATGGAGTTGCTTGCAAAGGTTGGCACATTGCTGCAGGTGGATCATACTGCATCAGGTATATATTCTAATTAAATTTACACTATTATTGTTACTGGAGTGGGGCTGTGGCTTGGTGGTTAAGGTGCTTGTTTTCTAATCCCAGGGTCCTAGGTTCAAGGCATGTCACTGCAGGAATTTTTCTCATGACCAAAAAACAACTCCACTCCCTAAGCATCATAAAAGAACTTTGTTTATAAAGCATCATTCTATCCTGTAAGTGGTAAGTGTACTTGCTGTTGGATGTGAAGAAAAAATAGAAAAAAAATTTAAAAGTTTACATGGAATTTTTGCTTCAATTTGTTTAGGTTAAAGCCCCATTCCCGGCAAAATTTCACTAAAAACTGACTTTTTTTAGAAAATATGCATTTGCATTACTCCAATTATTATAAATCATGGAAAAATATTGGCATGAATTTTAGTTTCCTACGATATTTCTTCTCACGACCTATCGCAAAATCAAAATGAAAAATTCATCCGCATTTATTTTTTGTGTGGAACACAAAAAATCAAATTTCAGTCTTATTTTACATTTTTTTTCATTCTTAGGAATGTCTAAATTCACTTAAACTAGCAATTCCGTATTATATTTGTAAATCTTTATAACATTATACAAAAAATTAGATTTTTCTTAAAAACTGAAATTTTGCCGGGAATGGGGCTTTAAGGCCAAAAATATTTAAGCAGGGGAAATTGTGAGAATTTTAAGTATTTGTTATAGTACAGTATCCCATCCAATCCAATCATAACATTTGTAAAGCGCATTTCTTTGCAGATACGAAGCGCTGCACCCAACATACTTAGGCACCTCACAACCCACAGGCAACCGTGATCATTGCCTAACCCAAGCACAGAACAAGTAAACAAATCAAAAGAAGCAGTTGCAAAGTTTGGAATCATTATATAACAAATCAGTATATAACAAATAATTATAATACTGTATATTGAATAATATTGCTACATAAAGATGTACTATCATTTGAATTGCTTAATTTGTATATTTAGGTAAGTTATTTAAGATTCAAAATTTGAATGAGAAAAAAATTCCCTTATCAATTTTCAGACAGTTAAATTAAGTTCACTTTATCATTTTCATAGATCCTTAAATTGTCTGGTAATCAATTTAAGGATTTTTTGTATTAAAATGTCTGCAACTCGGTAAAAAATACTTTTTTTTAATCTGTTTCTTTGTTGGAAGATTTATTTGACCCCTTTAAATGAGCTATTTTTGAGGTATTTTCCTGTCATTTTGACTGATAGTGCATATTTAACATTAATTTTATGGCTATGATACATCATAATTGACTTTATTAATGATTTCTTTTCAGTTTCATGGATAATACAGATATTTGTAGTCAAGACACTGATGCGTTTGTCTCCAAGCAATCCTCAATCTGTGCGTGAATTGATTGGTGGATGGATGTCAAAGTCAACTCAAATGATCCCTGCTGTCATACGGAATGCTTTCACAACTTTAACAAGAAATGCTGAATCTCAATAAACATTAGGGAGCCCTTGATTGCATGACACGGTAGAACCTAGAACGTAGAATTCATACATGCATTTGAGAACATTATGTTCTCCTTTTTGCATGGATTGTAGGATGCAACTTAAATGAATCTACATTGTGCAGAGAACATAGGACGGTCACGCATGAGTCAATCCGTTGTAGCGTCGCATCGTTGCATAAATTGGATGGCTAATATGCAACCTGTTCAAATGAAACCTTAACAAAGTTGCACATTAGCATTTTGAGAAGAGTACATTAGTTGGGAGTTATTAAGCTTGATATTATGTTTAGCTACCCATCTTCTGACAACTACAGTTTGGTGTCCTTTTAAAACATGGGTGCTAAGCCTATTTTGTAACAATTTACTTATATATATATATTTTATATTTTATTTATTTTATATTTTTTTGCATATTAGTAGACTCTAAAATCGTTTAAGCCTTTGAAACCCTTAAATTGTCATAGTTTTCCAGTTTCCCTAGAGCGACGCCTGACCAAACCCACTTGCATTTCTCATTAGAGTCCTCCACCCCTGGTGCAGTCCTGTGCATGCACACTAATTTGAAGCTGTTTTCGTCAATTATGCTCCATTGATACCTAAATTCAACTGCGCCTTATGGATTTAAAGATACTAATTAACCCTATAAGTTATACTGTAAAATTGTAAGACTGATGCGAAGCAAAGAAAAAAGTACTAGAGTGGGGAAAATGGGGAACAACAGTGGCGAGAAGAGGATTCCAAATGTTATTAAAATACAGAATATATTTATTAGAAAACACCATTTCTAAGAATTTGTCCACTGGTTTTATGGCAACAATACATGTAGCATTCCCAATGTCAATGAGAAAATGTAGCATTAACCAAGATCTTTTGGAACCAAACATCCTCTTATGGTAATTAATCACACTTGGCTGTCACTACAAACTGTGATACACACAACATACATTAGGAAGCTTTCGATCGCATGACGACAGTAAGATATAAAGCTTATGATGTCATGTACAGTCATCTGCACATGTAAAACCTTAGACCTCGGTATTATGCGCTATGTAAATTTCACTACGTACGTACATATATCATTGTACGAATCCCAGACACAATTTGGCATAAGTCTATTATGTGCAGAGAAAGTAGGATGGTCAGAGTTCTGCATGTTGAAAGTTCTTTCAGTTAAAACTAAATACCGAACAATACGCAGACCAACGATTCCATTATTTTCATTTATACTCAAGGGCAAGTTCAAGGAATAAAACTTTTCTTCCCAAAGTTTAATCATCTCTGTCTTGGATTATGTACTATTTCACTAAAATTTACACATACAGAGTGAATACCTAACCAGGAATTAGAAATAACTTTTTTGTAAGGAAGAAACAAATTTGTATATTGTGTTGCCCCTTCATGAGGTCATTCAGTAAGGGCAAAACCTCAATGCCACTTCAAATTATCAGAATGACAAAATATTTTTTCTCACCAAGTCAGACCCATAATACAGTACTTGATTCTTTTTACAATGCCTGGTAATTATAAAATGGGGGTTTTTGTAGTAAATTCTGCCTCATTGAAAGTTATTTGACTTCTTTTGACAAAAAAATAAAATGCAATATAACGGCGGCATAGAAGTGTAACATATACTGTACTATTTTCCCAGATTTCACCAGACAGAATGTCTTAATTTACTATGAGTGCAATTAAAAAAACAGTAAACAGTTGCTTTACACATATCATTTAATGACATCATGTTTGCCTCATTCTGTCAAATCAGATTTAAAAGATTTGTTTTTAAATAAAATAATTTCTGAGAAATCAGAAGCATTTTGTGTACTAATATACAGTAAAATATTAGTATAAAACTTTTAACCCATGTACTTTTTTTTATGGCTAGATGTTTTCTTGAAAACATTAAAATTCTGTACTAGCATTTTGTATTAATCTACCATATACTGTATACACCAATTGTTCTGCAAACTGTGGATTATGGCCCACCAGTGGATTGCGGGGCTTTGACAGAAATCTCCAAAATGGGGCTAAAATCAACATTGTTGATGCATTGTTTACATATTTTACTGTAATCTAAATTTTTAAAATCCAGTCCCAAAATGGTGCACTTGGGCTAGTTCTGAATTAAGCATTATGTGGTCAGTGTTTCATGATTCATGTCTGAATTTCAAAACTGGGTTGTCAGTGTAAAAGTTTGCAAAACGCTGATACATACCACATATTTATGTATCTGTGGACAAGAGATAACAAATATAAAATTAAGTTGTATAAAATAGGCTTGGATAATCCAATCCAAAGTAATCATTGTTTAGATGTCAAGATGGCTGTCCACGGGGCTGTTTGTCTTGGCGCTGCCATCAATGTTGCAAATCCAGGTATATGCCCAATTATTTCTTATAATAGGGCAGAGATGTTGAATTTGAATTTATTGTTTAGATAAGCCAGATATATAAATGTAACCATTGATGATGATTTTAATCCTTCAAGTACTTTGCGTGATGCTTAATGTGATCCTCGATGAATGTTGAGATGAAGAAGTAACTGTGATCATAATCCTGCAAAAACAAAAACAAATGAAAAGTAATTTATAAATCGAATTTCACTTGAATATATTTAGAAAGGAATATTAGAAATCACAGAATAAATGGTATATTTTATGCTACTACCTCAGTTGAATAAATTTACAATAGCAAGTTACTATGATGTCTCATTTATAATTCTTTCTCTTTTACTTGCCTATAGTATGGACCACAGTAAAGTGGCTAAAGGATATTTAAATGCATGGGCAGTGATGGCTCCAGAAATGTGCCAACAAGGGCTGCCTAATGTCACATTGCGGGAATAAAATCCCTGGTGGGGTACATGGGGAGATTTTATGGTTCAGGATGGCCCAAAATTGTGCTTTAGAGTAAGACCACGGTATTTGTGGCAAAGACAAGCCAAACCAGTCACTCGTCGCAAATCTTCTTTCTGAGATAATGGCCAAAACATGCTGAAATGTCAAAATTTTCAAAATCTATTTTATTGTACTAAACTAACCCTTATATATCTATACTTTATTCTATGTTATTACATCACCAATGATTTGGTGATGGTCTCTGCCTGAGAATTCCTCAAAATCGTAAAATTTGAAGGCTGATTTCTCAAATACTGTTGTTTAAACAGCTGTAACTTCACAACAAAACATCGGATTCAAATGATTCTTTCACCATTTCTTATTTCAGTTTACTATATTAATAACTAAAATTGATTTTTGGGAGGAGTGACTTGTTTGACTTATCTCTGCCACATTTATTAGCAATTATTGGAACAAATAAAACAAATATTTTTAGTTTGACGACCTCATTGTGGTGTCAAATGACAGGGCTCCCTGTTTAAATTAATAATAAAATAGTAATTTTTATAGAAAATTAATCCCTAGGAATACAGTATTATCGACCAGACTAATTAATATTACACTGAAAAATCTCGCAGACCTTGCCTAACTCTCACGAAATAAACAAACATGCAGTATGCTGCCAAGATACAATTAACAACTTCTATACCTCTCTCATATTAAGCTGTACCGGCATTTTGCTTTCGGTGCAAGCTGTTATGAAGTGGTCAGGCAGCAACTGCGATTGGGTCAAGAAGTTGTCGGCTTTTCCTTGGTCAATGTAGATGTTTAGCGGTGGGCCGTCATATTTCTTCACAAGCTCACAAGCATCGTACTCCTGAAAAGATAATGGTAATATTAATAATTGTGAATTTATTTAGCTAATAATGTAAAGAAGTTGCGCTTATGTATATGCAATTTTACAGCTGGAAGTGCAATAAATTTAAGTGATAAATTTATTATAACGATTTACATAAAAAATAAAAAGATAATTGCTAAATGTTAATCTGCAGTGGTGGCACCAGGATTTGTTAGACGAGGGTTCAACATCCCCGACAAAAACACGAGTGTGCATAGCCACGCGTCATCTACGTCGTCTGCATATGCACACATTTTCCTGGGAGACTCACATATTTGTGATCCTCTCCCTTGTACCAGTCTGCTGATGCAATTTTTTAATGAATGTAATGCGATACTTTCACTTACCTTCCATGTTTCTTCATTTGAGCCGAGGTAGCCCGAGAAAGCTTTCTTACCCCAGGGGCACTGGATGGGGTTACATATAGGTGCAAAGGCAGACACAGACTGGCGAGAAATACAAATGTTATATTACTATTATTATTATTATTGTATTTTGCATACACAATGCACAAATAAAACAAAAGTAATACTAATTAAGTTTCAACAGTTTTCACTAGTAAACTGTAGAATGAAAAACATTTTTATCATTGTATATACCCTCTATCTGGGAAAGTCTCTCACTGGGACCCCTCTATTTCAAATTCCTGCATTGCAGTGGAGTTGTAGATATTTACCAACAAGGTTCCAACAGGTCAAACACTGGGTCTGAATCAAGGGACTGCCTAGGATCTCTGTTAATAATAGGGATCCAGAGGGAGGAACTGAGATTGAGCATTCAGACTACATATTAAGAAGTGCAATCACAATAACTCAATCGGCAATTCAATTGCTTTTGGCGCCATGCTTTATCTCACCTTGTATAATCCTGGATTTTTGAGACTGCAAATGAGAGCACCATGTCCACCCATGCTACATGGGAAAAAAATGAATAAAACTGGCATACAGGCATGTAGTATTTTTTGTGGGTGCAATATACCGAAAAATGGTAGGAAGGAACAGCGTGGTTGCAAGACAACAAGCAACCACATTGTCATAGCGGCCGCAAAAAGCCTAGAGAATCAAAACCTTGTGCAAAGATAAATATACTGTATAACATGATCCATTTATTTATTTTTTTATTTATTTTATTTCGTACTAACCAACAGTGATATCAACCGCCACCAACAGGTTAAAATACATATAAAATATTTATGTAAATAGATATAAAAATACATTAAAAATTACTAACAATTTAGAAGGATCTCATTGAATAGTGACATCACAACAAATATAAATATCACAAAATTCAGCTCACAAATAATAATTACAAGCTTTGCAAGCATAAATTTAATTGCAAAACTCCGATGTTGAACCATCACCCCACCTTACACATTGCAGCACCTTAGTTGAGAAATATGAAATTAAATCATTAAATTATATGGAATAATAATTTTATGACACTCGTCAATATCTATACATAACCAAACATAAATTACTCCATTCTAAATTCACAGTTTGTGGCTTTTTGGAACATTGTATCCAGGCCCTTTTATTGCAAAGTACTGCTATGGGAACAACCATTTCTAAGTAGGGCAGTTTAGCTCAGTTGGCAGTGTTCCAGAATGGTAAGCTGATTGTAGCTGGTTCACAAGTCCATATATTCTCTGTCCACCTTATTTACTAAAAGTTACTGGGCTATGTATTACCACAATATACACAAAATTAGCAATATGTTGCAGAATTGGGTCTGAAATACATGTTTACATTAATTCCCTTACCTATGACCAAATATGGACATCTTATCTGCCTGAACAGGGAAGTTACCATTGACAACTGCTGGAAGCTGCAATACAAGATTAAAAATGCTTTCTTCACATTTTTCATACAACAGTAAATATACCACCCATTTAAAGGATGGAATTATGCTATTAATTATAAATACTCATTATAAACAAAATAAATATCTTTTAGCATGGAAGGTAACAATCATACAAAATTTGTTAATAAGAAAACTACACCCAAATCACTTGTGCAATTTTTTTTCAAAAGTATCTGAGGACGTAGTGTACTGAGTATTCGGTACGATAACACATCAGGTAGGGCAAAACATCACTTCTAATACAATAAAGAGGTAGCTAGTGGGGAGGGGAGTAAGTGCTCAAGTCCATTAGAAGCAGTTGCTGCATTGGCTTGCACTCCCAACCTTTAAGGTCAGGGGTTTCGAAGCTCTCGCTGTGCAAGTGACTTATGTCCTTGGGCAAGGCACTTTACTTACGTTTGTCTCCCTCTACCCAGGAGTATAAATGGGTAAATGATAGGATGTTGTGGCAGTGAATGTACTACCTGTAGTTTGGTGCGCTAAACAAGTAGCGCACGACTAGGTATACTTCCCAGGTAGTTGAGAAGGTTGCACTTTGTGCTGGTTTGCCATTGAATGTTATCCAGTGAACAGGGGTAATAACGCACAGTGCCTTTGATCATTCGTTGGAATTGGCGCTATATAAATATTTGGGTATTATTATTATTATTATTATTATTATTATTATTATTATTATTATTATTATTATCATTATTTCAAACAGGCCAATCACCCAGTTGGCAATGACTCAGACCAAAAAAGGGAAAATTTTTCATTGATATAAATAAAATTGAATCAAACCTCATCTGTGATATAAGAGTACATGCGATAATTTGTCTTCCATTTTTCTTCAGTTGCATTTAAGTAGAACCCAGCACCGGAGCCAAAATCATATGCATCATCCTCGCCCTCAATATTACATCCACCTGAATAAAAAAATAAGACATTTATTATAACATAAAAAAAAGAATATAATTTAATCAATCCTAAAGTATTTACTGCACCTAGTATACAGTGATCTATAGTTACGCTTTAATTTTTAACCATTGCACTTGTATTCATTTAAAAAAATATTGTTTGAAGATTTGCGAAATAACAATCACAAATGCTTTCAGTACACCAATGTAGATAGTTCGGAAAAATAATGCTCATTGAGAGAGTGTCTCGATGTTTCAGATGAGCAGCTTCAATCATCATTAGGAGAATAATAATAGAATAGTATGTATTATTGGCAGGGTATTACTGTACTTACGAGGACTTGTATCCGGAGCAACAACGATGATGCCATGTTCAGATGCATACTTTTGAGCGCCACCTTTCCCAACAAAGTTCTGCTCAGTGCAGGTGAGACCTGAAAAGACAGAACAGGGTATTGTCAGCAACATAGAAAATAGATGAAATGGAGACAACCACCAGAAAAATTGATATAAAGCATTGGCAAGTTTCAGGCTCTCTGTAACCATTGTAGATCAGGGGTCTTGAGATGGATGAAGTTATTTCTGGGAAGTCTAGTTAAATACGCTTTCTTACATATCTTATTATTATGCTGTGCATGGTGTTACCCATTGGCCCTAAGTAAAACTTGCAAATATTATGGAGCAGGAGACCGTCCTGACTGCTGCAATTTGCAGGAAACTTCGAAACCCAGGTACATTCAATTATTAAATCAATCAGTGATTAAATTTAGATTCATACAGGCAGTGGTGTATCTAGGAGATGCTGAAGGACACACCATCTCCAAAAAAGCTTGCTCTCCAAGTCACCCCCTCCTCCAAACCACTGAAAATCTTTGAGGCAAACAAATTTTGCTCAAGTAGTTAAAGTCAGGCTCAGGAAGAAAAAAAGGTGTAAAAATGGGCGGTTACGCCCCTTTTTCCCCCAGTTTTTAAATATTCAAAAATCTGTATCTCGTTCACCGTTCAACAGTTTTTCGTCAAACAACTTTTTTCTGTCTTAGAAAAATCAGTTCTACAACATATCAAAAAATGTTTTTCCTCCAGAGCCTGACATTAAAAATCACCTTATTTTGCAAGCTAGCACCCGCACTTATTCATCCAGCACTCACTTCACCCTCACACCCCATTAGGCTCCTCTCTCCCAATTTTTAAGACTCCTTGATACACCATTGATTGCATAGATAATGTTCAACATAGTTGCAATGTGGATTTTAAAATAAGAAAATAATGACGTGTTGAGTACCAGAGAGATAATAGAGAACTGGACATTTCTCTGTTTCTGCCTGAGGTGGCAAGTAGATGCCAAAGGTCATCTTACACTGGACTTCCTTGCTGAAAAATAATAAATGAAGGAATTAACAATGAACATCATTACATTAGATTGTTATCGGAAATTTAATATAATTCCTTTTAATCCATGACACTATCAAGAATTATGTGATACAAATCTGAGAAAACGACAGCGCCCCATAATAGTTCTTGTGGCTTCTTACACATTCCCAACATGCCCCACATTATATATCATATTTGCGTGGGAGACACATTGAAAACTAAAATTTGTGTGGAAAATCAATAGGTTCATAGAATTATCTAAACTGCATGGTTTTATATTTAAACATAGGCCAACGCCAATTCTTCTGCAAAAATTTGTATGAAAATCACCCCATATTTTCAAAATGCATGGACCGTTTTTATAACCCTAAATTATTTTTATGCGGATACCATTCACCAGGCAGGCCTATTTTACAGTATAGTAGGGTATGTCTAAAATTCATTCTTAAAAGAAGATAGTACACATAGAATTAAACTTAAAATTAGTAACAAACCCAATTTTAAATAACAAACAGTTACCTGTCATGAGTGAAAACCTTCTGCCAACCACCGAAGGCCTTGTTCTTGCTTTTTTCTTCTATGTTAGTCATCGTTAAAACTGTATTCAAAAAATCATATGCACATAAGTACATCAACAAACATACTGTATATGCACCAAATAAAAAAAAAGTAGAAATATAATAATATAAAAAGGCCAAAACATTTTGTTGCTCTCGAGCTCAACCAACCTAAATTTCTAAAATCTAGGGTCATCCCATAGAAAGGTCGCCAAACTGTGAAATCGGGAGGGGAATTATTTTTGGCAGGAAAAACATGTTACCTATTCAAACCATCAAAATCTAGGCTGTATGACTAGAGAGTATTAGTATTTGTAGAGATGGTAGTGTAGTACAATAGGGAATACTAGGCCTATCCACTCGGCTCGGCCAGATTGTCACCATTTTCACGAAGAGACACAAACTTCAAAAATCATATTTCTTCAATATGTTTTTCTTTGACATTTTGATTATGTACATCAAACTTTACCTTTTCACAAAGAGCGCAACTACACCATTTAAATAATTACGCTAATTAGCCATACTGCACAAATATAAGCAAAATGGATTTTTCGTTTTCAAGAACAGACACAAACTTTCAGTGAGTTATTAAAAGACGCGCGTGCAGCACTGCAATCGTGAACGCTATGCCTGTTTTCGCCCTTGACTACAATGGTTTAAAAGCATAGGCTAAAATACAGTTTGTGCAACGGAACAAACTTAACAACGGGAGCGCTGAACAAGCGATGACGAGCACCCGCATATAAATAGGAATAGAAAATATATCTCTAAAGAAAATTGCATGAAAATAATTTAATTTTTAAATATCTTTATGAGCTACTGTAAAAGTAAACTAAAAAATTATTGTAAGTTATTTATAACATTAGCATAAATTAAAATGCATACACAGAACAGAGATGAGCACATTTAATCAACGATTGACCATGAGATGGTGGTGATGTCACAGGTCAGCCAAAATCTGGGCCCCGGGAATCCAGGGCAGCCAAACAAGAAGTGTGGCAAAGTGTGGCAATTACACGCGACCCTCACTGAAGAAATATTGCCAAGCTAGGTAAATACTGTATATCTAACCTAGGCTTAGAATACTTGCGTATGCTATTATTCCTAGGCTGCACTAGTAGTATATTGGTAGTAGTATGTACTGAAGGCCTACTATAATCGAAAATGTATCAATCAGTAACTCCACGTGGTGTGCTACACACACAAAAAAAGGTAGTTGCGTACGACGGGGTACGAGTTGACTACAACTAGCCAAGCCTAGCCTGGCATACCGACGCCTCGTTCCTCTGACCTCAGTATTGCTACTGGATATGTTTAGAATGCACCAATTATTACAATAGTTGCTATACTACCTCTTCTAATTATGCGATGGTAGTAACGTTCAGAAAAGTAGCTGGTTTGCTGCCTGACTGTAGCAAACGGGAAGCAAATTCGTAGCATCCACTGAAGACCGAGATGTAGCAAGAAAAGGGACAGAGGCCTACAATTGTATTATAGTGGTGGCGCTGTTCTCTTTACCCATACAGAGCCATAGATATAATGATTAATAGCTCTGTGGTCTGTACCCATATGGCGGGCGTCATAATTTCTGTTGGGTCGATGATGTTAAACTTTTAATAAAGCAGGCTCCAGAGGAAAACACTTGGTTTTTTTTTTTTTCTAAGACACGTCCCCAAATATTTTAAGGGGGTAGTTGGGGGCCAAAACCACCCCCGCCCGCGCTTGGTGCTTCGCAAATCACATTATTCACCCTCCCCCAACCCCAGCCCCCATACTAAATCCTAGATCCGCTACTGCCTCCATGGTTGTACATGATCAATATATCCTCCGGAGCGAACCATGGTTTTATGGAACCAAGATTTATGAAATAAAAAAATAAATAAAAAATCTAAGTCCTAATCCCCCCACCCCCAATACTTGGGCAAAAACAAAAACAAAACAAAAATTAAAAACTTATGTCGAGACTCCTACTTTTTTCAGAACCCGTGAGCTGATTTTTTTTTTTTTTTTTTTTTTTTTTTNNGGAATTTAAAGGTCATTAAAAAAAACCCCTCAGAAGTCGGGAAAGCTCGTTTTCCGCCATCTAGTAATCAAAATTTTCCCGGGGGAGGACCCCCGCATCGGGTTCGGGTTCATCGATTCATGGAAAATAGAATAGTACGTAGGCCTTTCAACTCCTCATTTGTGTTTTCTTTAAGACCTATATACCGGCACACTAGGCCGCATTAATACGGTAATAAGAATGAGAAAAATTTACCTGACCGTTTTCAAGAGGGCATAAAACATTGAATTTTGTACTTAAAAGTAATTAAAAGACACTTTGGGTCGGGAAAGCTCATTTCCCGTCATCTAAGAATCAAAATTTTCAGACCCAGATCCGCCCCTGTATAACATATTCGAAAACATATTCAAAAGATATTGAAAACAAAAATAATAAATTTATCGTTTAGGTTGGGAATTTCACGAGTCTCTGATAAAGTATATAATATTAACAACAATTTATAGAACAATCAGTAACTACCTATAATTATGTCTCTAAAACACCATACACCATACTTGCCAGATTGACTGAGACGGCCAGTTGTGATGTAAGTCCGGTCGGTATGTAGGCTTATATTTTTGTAAATCGAGTTGACATTGATTATATTGCTTCTCTTCGTTGTTTTACTATCAATATTCGTTTGAATCTTGGTAAAAGGTTTGTGGATTGATACGACGCATTGACAAATGTATTATTTTCAATCGGAGACAAAACATAAGTTTATCAGTATTGAAAAAAAAAGTCAATTAATAATTAACAAAGAAAGCATAAAAAAGACATGAAAAGAAAAGATACACGAAAGAAAAAACAAACAAAGGTTGAAATTAAGAAAGGATGAAATGATATAAATGGAAAAAAATAAAATAAAGGAAAATTAAAGAATAAAGTAATGAAATGGAGAAAAGGAAATTACTTTATTTAATCAAAATTAAATTATAGTAATATAAACCTAATTTATGATTTTTTATTTCTTTACACAGGCCTAAAAAACCTATCTAGTAGTAGGCCGCATTAATACGGTAATAAGAATGAGAAAAATTTACATGACCGTTTTCAAGAGGGCATAAAACATTGAATTTTGTACTTAAAAGTCATTAAAAGACACTTCGGGTCGGGAAAGCTCATTTCCCGTCATCTAAGAATCAAAATTTTCCCAGGGGAGGACCCAGATCCGCCCCTGTATAACATATTCGAAAACATATTCAAAAGATATTGAAAACAAAAATCATAAATTTATCGTTTAGGTTGGGAATTTCACGAGTCTCTGATAAAGTATATAATATTAACAACAATTTATAGAACAATCAGTGACTACCTATAATTATGTCTCTAAAACACCATACACCATACTTGGCAGATTGATTGAAACGGCCAGTTGTGATGTAAGTCCGGTCGGTATGTAGGCTTATATTTTTGTAAATCGAGTTGACATTGATTATATTGCTTCTCTTCGTTGTTTTACTATCAATATTCGTTTGAATCTTGGTAAAAGGTTTGTGGATTGATACGACGCGTTGACAAATTTATTATTTTCAATCGGAGACAAAACATAAGTTTATCAGTATAAAAAAAAAGTCAATTAATAATTAACAAAGAAAGCATAAAAAAGACATGAAAAGAAAAGATAAAGAAACACGAAAGAAAAAACAAACAAAGGTTGAAATTAAGAAAGGATGAAATGATATAAATGGAAAAAAATAAAATAAAGGAAAATTAAAGAATAAAGTAATGAAATGGAGAAAAGGAAATTACTTTATTTAATCAAAATTAAATTATAGTAATATAAACCTAATTTATGATTTTTTATTTCTTTACACAGGCCTAAAAAACCTATCTAGTAGGCCTATGGTGTAGGCCCTAAGTAGGATGACTTTGATTGGTGTGATGATAATTGAATAATAAAAAATAATGATTTAACGTATACACTTACGTTGTCACGACGTACGTACGCGCGAACTCCTTGTACATTAATACGACCCTAGGGGTCATGGTTCAAGTAAGGTCAGTTGCTGAATTAGGGTCGGTCGGCAGAATGGGTTACAAAAAACACGAAAATAGTGAAAACGAGGGAAATTTGGAACCAAAGAAATATGTTCATTCATGGAAAAATATCTGGGTATATGTTCAGTGTTGTAAGTAAACTTTGTTTAAATATTTAACTTGTTTTAAGACAGGCCTGAAGTCCTAGGCCTACTACTAGGGCCTGTAGGCCTATTTAATACTATCTACTACTACTACTAGGCCCCTAGCTAGTCACTAGTGCCTCTTGGTTGGGTCTCCAAACCGGCTAAGGCCGCTGGGCTAGGTAGCCAAGAACTAGACTAAGACCACTGATTTTACACACCACATCAGTGGGCTAGGCTACCCTCCCTAGTCCTGACTAGGCTAGGCATCACACCGATTGATTCTGTGTCACAGCCTATCATCATCAGGTTGCCATGAAAACGTGGTTAAAATATGAATTTTACTTTGCCATCAAATCATTAATTAAGCAGTGGTGGTGCCAGAGGGGGCTGGGGGACAATAGCAACCCACTCCCCCTTCGGGGAAGCATAGCCCCCCCCCCCCCGTTGGGGAAGATGATACATTTTCTCAGGGAACAAACAAATAAAAAAAATATTTACATGTAATATTCGTTTAGACACCATATTGTTTGTGTTAACTTTTCATCAAAACAACAAAAACAACAATTTTAAACAACAACAATATTAAACAACAATAACAATAATAATAATAATATAATAATAATTCAATGAGCCTAATTAAAAATAATTTGCATTATGTTATTACAAATGCTCATTTAGATAGCCTCATGATGGTTGGAATACATCGTGATAGGTGAAGCAACCTCGACCATGACAGCGTGGTTGACAGATTTCGTGCAAAATTTCCAAAATATAGAATTTCGCTTTCAAGAATGAGGATTTGAAAATAAATTAGATGGTTACATTGCGTACTCTTTGTTTCTTGTTTTATTCAAAATGTTTTGATTTTGGAAACTGATTTCAACATTAGAAAGCATAGCCTACATAAAGTCATATTATAGTAACTTGATGCCTATCAAATAAGTAATAGAAATTCGCCATAATTCATCAACTACCCGTGGTTTCCACCCCACCGGGTGCCCTAGACGGCCCACTGGCCCCCAGCCAAGTGAGACTCAATTCGCTTCACCCCACCCCCATTATTGGCGCTAGGCCTGAAGAATAGGCCTAGGCTAGGTAGGCCTACTGTAGGCCTGTTAAGAAAAAAATCATCTTGTTTGGATTTAAATGAAACTTATGTCAAAGATTCTACAACATTCAAACGTTAAAACAAAGTTTATCTTTAATTTATAGAAATCGTTCTACTGGTTAATTTTCTATGATTTTTTTAAATATTTTATTTTTTCGGAAATATTATGATATAGTTTATAGGTCTATGGATTATGTAAACAATGTGACCTTTTGACATTATAGAAAAAAACTCAAATTAAATTAAAACTTTATTTCTAATATATCTTTAGGACTATTATTTCCTTACACAGATTTTGTGTAGCATTAGCACTTCTACCCTTAACTACTAGAAGCATTCTCATACCATCCAACACAACCCTTCCCCTCCCCTCCCCCCTGGTGCAGATATATTAAGTACTGTACAAATTATTATAATATTATAATTTTTACATACAGTAATGAGTTGTTATTATTATACATACCCTCACTAAACTACACTTCAACTTATCCCCATCCCCTCCCCCAGACCTCAGACCCCACTACCTTATTTATCTTAAACCCTGTATTTACAGTAAGATACAATACACTATTACAGTGGTACAAATTGCATTAATTGCCAAATCCAAATCATAATACCTCCTCATCCCCACTACCTTTCCCCTCCCCACTGCCTAATTCCTCTCTCCCTACCCACACCCCACCACCTTCACCTACCTTACTACCTTCACCCAACGCCAATCCCACCACCAGCATCTCAGTAGTGAATACGCAACAGTCTCCCAAGCCTAAAAAACTACTTTCCAAACGATAAATTTTCTTCATACTCAAAATTACAATCATGTAATTAACCAACAGTTAAACAATTTTCCTTCTGCTCAAAAAAGTGGATTTTAATCGAGTATAAAGTTTAGACGTCAATCAAACTGTAAATAAAAGATGGATGAATACAAAAAAATTTGTAACCCTTCTTTGAACTTTAATCTGCATGTTGATGTATGACATCAGCAGTATCCAATGAAAAAATGCATAGATTTTTAAAAACGTATCACCCTGACCCAGCAGTACAAGCCCACCATTAGTGACCAAAGCTAGGAAGTGTGATGTCACGATTTTTAACATACCTACCTAGGCTATAGTAATGATAATGTTCTATCCATGGGCATACTGCAGACAGTAGGCTAGGACACTAGTCATATTGCATGTTAATTACTATGAAGACTATTTCATATAGGCTGTACTCTAAAGTATTTTAATACTTCGGATGATGGACTGCATAAAAAACTAGCTGAAATTTGCTGCGAAAAATTGTTAGGAAAATAGGTATGCAGAATCATAATTATAGTATTAGTAATGCATTATACATCGGTTATATAATTAGAGATTAGGTCAAGTCTTAATTTTCGGCATAATCTGTGTGGAAACCAGCCCTTATTTTAAATCATATGCACGAACAGATTTCCAGGCCCGATTTTTGCACGGATGATATACAGTATTCACTGTGCGTGCCTTATTTTACAGTCTGGAGCATAGTCCCTTTTCACACTTTTCATGAGATTCATTTGTTGGCTACCATGATGTGTATTTTATTTATGCCAAGGATAGGCCTACATTAAGTACTAATTCAAATTTGCACTGAAAATGCGCTGAATCGTATAATGCATTAGTTGTATAGTTAGTTAACATGCTAATGCCTAAATCTCTCCAAAATTTGTGCAGAAATCAACCCCTTTTTTTGAAACGTGGACCGATTTGTAGGCCAAAATTTTTGCGCCAGGGATATTCCCCATGCACGCCATAATTCACAGTGTGGTGAAAGTAGCCATAGACATGTGTGCATGGGATAGGCCCTAAAGGAAGCATCAATCGAGGAAGTAGTGTGAAAGAATGGTTTGGTTATGCCCCATGGAAGCTCAAGACTTTTAGCCAATATCTTCCTATACTAATTTTTCAGTTAAAAAGAATTTTTATCGCTGCTGACAAGGCGAGGGCGAGTGCTACTTTCCCCACTCCTAGATCTGCCAACTGTACTGTACATCCTTTACCAACAGGTGGCCAAAGTGCGGGTGATTTTTTTTTGGGCCGCCCGAAAAAATGAATTACAAACCCTACAGTATGTTTTCGGCCCGCCAACCATCTTTAGCTAGAAAGTACCTTGTTTTTTACGGCCTGACACCGATCATCTGTAAAAATTAATATTAAAACTGAGCATAAAGCAGTATAAAAGCAGTGATTGAAAGTTTTTGGAAGCGCACTGGAAACATCAAAGTTTGGGTGCAGCCCCTCGGTATTAAATCCAAAATGCACTTTGACCCTCTGACCCATTTTTATGCCCACCCTTGCTTTAACCAAAGACTCAAATTTTTGTATGTGGTGAAATAAACTTTAGCTGAGAAAGATGTTTGGTAACATTAAAATGAGAAATTGACCTTGCTTTTGGGTCATACAGTCATAGAAAAGACAGTCACATTCGTTACTTGATTTATCAATAAAGTTCAAATGATTTTCTTTTTTAATAATACTGGTTTGCATTTGGTGTCTTTGATTGATATACAAACTTTAGAGATTAAAAAAATTATTTTCAACAATGACTTGTGTTTATTGTATGAACAAATGTTGCACATATTTTAATTGAAATAAGACATTGAAAATGTAAAAATTCAACTTTTGTTTTTAGTCATAACAATCACAGAGAGAGAGGATATGGAACTTCAAGGGCTACCAGGAGAGTTCCATAAGAGGTCCTTACACATTTTAATGTGTAAATACTGTAAATTTCCTCCCATGATTCCCCAAATTTTGTATGCTGAATATTTGGTTTCGCTAGTTAGGTACTGTAAAGTATACTCTCTTTTAGGATTAGATACTGTATATACAGTATTAATATTCCCCAATTTAACCAAAATTTGTCTCGTGTTAAGGCTGGATTGTGTCATCACTAATAATCACAAAAACGTGGCTTCTATCTTTGGGAACTCGCTCATTTATTACAGTATGATGTATTTTTGTTCATTGCAGATTTTGTAACCATTGCTTCCATATTGGGAACAGGAGTGTTAGGTTTGTATCTAAATTTATTATTCTCAAACATAAATTCAAAAAATTGATTATGATGATTTTGATAATAATGATGATGATGATAATGAGGATGATGATGATGATGATAGTGATGATGATACTGTTAATGAGGATGGTGGAGATGATGATGAGGATGGTGTGATGATAAGGTGGATGGTGATGATAATGAGCATGGTGATGATAATGAGCATGGTGATGATAATGAGCATGGTGATGTTGGTGATCATCATGATGATATGATAATGACTGCGGCATTAATTAGTTTAAAAGAATTAGATTTTTGTGGGAAATTTTTGACAATGCATAAAGTCTGCAACACAGTGACTAATTTGTACAAATCAAAATCTGTAGTACAACCTAATGTCATTTACAAACATTGCAGTATTAGGCCAGTTACATTCAGTGGGATAAAATTTAATAACTTTTATAAACATTTATGCTTTCCACATCCAGGATTACCAGTCACTGCTTGGCAGTCAGGCTTTACACCATTTCTGACATCATTTTTGGTTGATTATGTAATGCAGGTAAGCAGTACAGTAAATAGTAAATTTAAATTGCTAACACTATGAACCACAACATAGCGAGCGGGCTTCTACTATGTATCAAGATGATATTGTGCGTCAGATGTACAAATACAGTACAGTTAAAAATTCAGGAGAAAGTATTTTTCATTCATTAAAAATGCATTAATAATTTTTTATGTACATATTTTAATTTTTAATTACAAAATTGTTGGCTGGTAATCACTAAAGGCCAACTCAGATAGTGTTGTACAGTATGATGCGGCCTGACACGATTTAGGTCGTTGTGAGAATATTAAATATGTTTTAATATTCTATGATGCGACTGTAACCAATGCAGACCTGTTGTTAGCTCACGCAAGCTTGACATGACAACAAATCGCGTCGGGCTGCATCATACAATGACCTTAAGGAGTTTTATAAAAAGTCTGCTAAGAAAGAGAAATGTTTTTTCAGTTGTAATTTTCATAATTTTCCTGCCGTTTTCAGTCATCTCCAGCTCTAGTACATCGTTGGTTGAATGATTGATTAACTACTGTGGGTAGTAATTTTTTTTCACTTGATAATGTCCATATCATTATGTGGCTTGTATTTACTTTCTTCTAGGCCTTCAGTATCCTCTTATTTGTGGACTTGTTGCAGAAAGGTCAAGCCTTCCTCCTCAGCACTCCAGAGGTAATTTATTGATTTATAATTACATTTGATTAAATATTTCTTATATCCTCCAGTACTGTATAAGCCCATTGAACCTTAGTATAAGCCTGCCCCTGACTCTACCTAGTCACTATTGACAGGCAGAACATTTAAAATTGTAACAGAACTTCTTTTTAATTATAATTAGTGATAATTCTTCTGTTGTGAAGTAATCATGGAATAGGTAGTAGATTTTATAATAATTATATTTGTTCTGTTTTTTTTTTTTTACTATTTAGAAAGATCTTGAGGCAGTTCCATTAAATGAGCTGTTCAGTGATGATGAGGAGAATGATAGTCAACCTTCTGGAGATGGTACTGTAGCTTCTCTGTTTGATTTATTAAATGTTTCCTTAATGTATTGTATGTTTTTTTATCAAAGACACATAAACTACTGTATCCATAATGGACCTTTCCACTAAGCCCCGCCCCTTGGATAATTGTTGCTGAGGTCCCACAAAATGACAGTGTAAAAAACAAGTGTGTTTCATTTGTTTGGCAACACATGCGTTTGTGTGGTGTGTGCTTATTTCTAACTGTGTTCTGATTGGTCAGTTGTTAAGTTTGATTGACATTCCAGAAAGATCCATTAGACTTTCGTTGATATACCGTAAGTGGTATAATTGATTTTATTAATGATTAGCGACCTTTATAAAATGCTCTAGGCCCTAAAACCAACCCCATAGCACATACTAATAGTCATAATCAATCATCTATCAATTATCATCAATTGCACTGATTGGTCGCTATCAGTCATGACCACCTCACAATGGGCTATATCCCAAAATTACAATAGCACAAATTATCAGTCAAAGTCGATAAGCTTTAACAAAACACAATATTTTGTAAATTAATTTATGACTGCACTTTGAACAAAATTTGAAGTAGATAATCCATCTTATAGTGAACAGTGATTGTACTGTATTACTGTATAAATGAAATGTTTTATATCCTCTTGATTGGAAGGAATTGGTTATTTGTTTGGTCAAAATAATGTCACCAACAGAGTGCTATGTTTACATATACAAAAGCTCATGTGCACTTGCAAGTTCCTAGACCCATGCTGGAGTATAATTTCAAATCTATATTTTGTTAGCTTGTACTACAATTTCTAAATTCCTTTCATTTTTCTAATGAAGACTCATCCATAGACAGGAATATTTTTCTGTGAAGTCTACTTCTACTAAGTGTACTAAAAACTGTTTTATAATTGATTTATTTTGTTTTGAAGTAATATTAATAATTACATGAAAATCTATATTTGATATTTTCATTGATGTATACCTTTTCTTGCAGACATGAGAGAGTCGCTTGAGGGTGAGT